TAAACATCAGTTAATTACTTTTCATTTTCTTTGAGATAAAGTCTCACTATGTAGTTCAGGCTGGCCCTAAAGTCACTGTGTAGCCCAGGCTGGCCTTGAACGTGTGGCAATCCTCCTGCCTCAGCCTCAGGAGTACTGGGATTACATGTGCGTGCCACCCGTTGTGTCAGTTTGACTGGACCAGGGAGTGCCCTGATTGCATGTTCTGGGTGTCGGTGAAGATGGTTCTGAATGAGCATAGCAGTTAAATCTGTGGATTCAAAACACTGGCCCAATGTGTGTGTCACCAGTCTGATAAAGAACAGAAGTCAGAGGGAGGGGATCTGCAGCCCTGCTGCTTGCTGCCTGCTGGCTGGGGCTGCACTTCCTACCTTTCTCCAGCCCACCAGCAGCTCCCTCACTTTTGGACACTCACTGGAAATGCAGTAGCCTTCCTGGGCCTGCCCCATGGTGGTGACTGTGTGGCCGCCCCTTCACAGGAAGCCTCTCGATATTCGCTATCTGTGCACCAGCATGGCTGTTTCTGTGTGACCATCAAACACTCTCCTTCAGCACTTACTGACCTTGGATCTCTCACTTGCTTTTCCTCTCTTGTGGCCAGCGTACTGGGCAACGCCTGCACTCCCCTCCAGCCCGACTGGCTTTTTTTTGGTTTTTGTTTTTGAGATACAATCTTACTATGAGTAGAAGCTGTCTTCAAACTTGTGGTCTTCTTGTCTCAGCCTCCTGAGTACTGGGATCACAGATTCAAGTCATCACACCTGGCTGGTTTATTTTTTTTGTGTGTGTATGTGTGGTTCTGGGGAACCCAGAGCTAAGTACATGCTAGGCAAATGCTTTACCAGTGATCCACATCCCCAGCCCTCATTAATTTATATAGGAGACAGGGTAACACTATATAGTAAAGGCTGGCCTTGAACTTGTGATCCACCTGCCTCAGCCTCCCTAATAGGATCACAGGCATGTGTCACTGTACCTGGTCTGATTTTTCTTAGTTTACTTCTTTATTCTTTCTTCCATCTGTGTCTCTCTTTTCATATTGTGGACTAAACCTAGGAATTTTCCTTCTTCTTGAGACAGGGAGGGTCTCACTATGTAGTTCAGGCTGGCCTTGTACATTAGTACTATTGCTATTTAGCAATTCTGCCCCAGCCTCTCAAGTACTGGGATTACAGCCCCCGATTGAACTCAAGGCTTATGCACTGAGCTACATTCACAGACTTTTTTTTTTTTTTTTTTTTTCCTTTTGAGACAGGATCTCATTATGTAGTTCAGGCTGGCCTTGAGCTCACTATGTAGTCTCAAACTTGCAACCATCCTCCTGCCTCAGCCTCCCAAATGCAGTGATTACAGGCATGTGCCACCAAACCTGGTCTCAGCCTCTGAGTGCTGGCATTGTAAGTGTGCATCACTACACCTAGCTCCACAGTCCTTTTTTAATTTTTAATTCTGAGACAGATCTAGCTAAAGTGCCCAAACTTGAGATCCTCCTGCCTCACTCTCCTAATATGCTGGCAGTAGAGCCATGAGCCAGCATGCCTGACTAACTTATCTTTAACATATTTCCTAAACTTATTTGGCTGTCAAACTCTTTTGTAGGACATTGTAGAAAAATACTGGAGAATTCTGCTTTGCATGAAATAAATCTTTTGTGTTCTCATAACTTTATAGTGTTTAGCTCAACCCATCAAGCAAGCACTCTGAGAATTTAATCACAAGGCTGGGGATATAGCTCAGTGGCACTGCACCTGACTGGTAGACATCAGGTCTCAATCCCTGATACTCAAAAATGGAAATTTTTTTTTCCTTTTTGAGACATAGTCTTGCTAAGTAGTTCAAGCTGGCCCTGAACTATGTAGCCTAGGTTAGCTTCAAACTCACAACAATCTTCCAGCCTTGGCCTCCTGAGTACTGGGGTTACAGATGTGTGCCACCATGCCTGGCACTCCAGTGAATTAAATTTCTTTTTTTTTTTTTTTGAATTAAATTTCTTTATATTATTGCCACTGAGCTACCTCCCCAACCTTTTTAATCAGTACCTTTTTTTTTCTAAAATCAGATGGAACTCACGACTGCGTGGTTGCAAGGCAGGCATTTATGTCGCTGAGCTAAAACCGCCCCCCCACCAGCCTTTTTTTTTTGTTTTTTTCTTTCTTTTTTTTTTTTGGTCTTTTTCGTTTTTATCGGTATCAGGGATCGAACTCACGACTGCCTGCTTGCAAGGCAGGCGCTTATGCCGCTGAGCTAAATCCCCAGCCCCTTGTTTTTGTTTTTTTCAGTACCAGGGATGGAACTCAAGACCTTGCACTTGCCAGGCAGGTACTTATGACACTAAGCTAAATCCTCGGCCGTTTTTTTTTTTTTTTTTTTTTTAAAGTTAAAAAAATTTTGGGGGGTTGGGGATTTAGTTCAGTGGGATAAGCGCCTGCCTTGTAAGCAGGCAGTCGTGAGTTCGATCCCTGGTACCGATAAAAACAAAAAGACAAAAAAAAAAAAAAATTTTTTTTTAAAACTTTTTATTTAGGGGCTGAGGATTTAGCTCAGCGGCATAAGTGCCTGCCTTGCAAGCAGGCAGTCGTGAGTTCGATCCCCGGTACCGATAAAAAGGAAAAAGACCAAAAAACAAACAAACAAACAAAAAAATACTTTTTACTTATGTTATTTATTTATTTTGGTACTAGGAATTGAACTCTGGGCCTCACACTTGCCAGGCTGGCTACATCCCCAGCCCCAGTACATTAAATTTCTGCCCCAGTCACTTACTCCAGGTAAGAAGTATTCTGCAAACATACTTTCTTTTTCTTTTTTTTTTTTTTTTTTCTCTTTTATCGGTACCAGGGATTGAACTCACGACCGCCTGCTTGCAAGGCAGGTACTTATGCCACTGAGCTAAATCCCCAGCCCCTCAAACATACTTTCAAACCAACTCTCTGGCCATAAGTTAATGGATTCAGGGCAACGTTCATCGTCAGTGTCTTTTCAGGCTGTCGGTTCCGGATCTTGACTTTGTCATGGTCACTGCAGGATGCTTGTGGAGGGGAAGCTACAGCGGCCAGGTGGACATGAAACCCCAGAATAGCAGGCTCTTCTGCACGACAGAACTGCAATTTGCATGCGCTTGGAGCCTCCTCAAATTTGCTCTAAGGTGACGTAGGGCAGTGCCATGACCAAAGCACGGCACTCAACTTGAGAAACGAGGCCACACTGGAAGGGAAGAAGCAGCCGAGCCTGTGTGTTGGAAGCACCGAGCATCTACGGTGGGGAATCTGATGCCCCTGCCCACTGGGCTGCAGCCATTGAGGTCTCCAAGGCAACGATATCGGGGATATCAGAACCCTGGCTCCCGCGTTCTTCTGTCTCGGATGACCTGAGAATCCACCAGGAATACCAGCATCAGATGGCAAAGCAAGACCAGATCTCTCTTGTGCTGCTAGAATTGAACCCAAGGCTTTTGCATTGAGCTACATCCCTACCTCCTTTATTTTTCTGAGACAAGGTCCCACTGAGTTGCTAAGTTGCCCGGGCTGGGATCTAGCTTCTGGTCTCTTGCCTCAGCCTCGCAGGGTGCTGGGATCACAGGCATGTGCCACCACGCTTGGCCCACATTTGTTCTGACACAGCAATTTCTCTTTATCTAATCTTACATGAAACCCCATTCACAGAGAGAACACAGGGAAAAGATGCTGTGCCAGCAGACCCCAGAGCTCCAGGAGGGTCCCACTTAACAGCTGTGGGAGACACAGGCTGCACAGCGCTGGTGGACACCGCTCACCAGCCAGTACCTCGGGTTTTCCATGATTAACAGGTGAATTTTCTAGCACAGGGCAGCGGTGTCTCGAAGAGATGCTTCAGAGAAACCAGCCTAAGCCTCCATCTGCTCTGGGCTCCGCACCCCACTTCCAGCACCCCTCCTTAGCTATCCTGCAGTGCTTCCCAGCCTGCTTCTGGTCCAGGCACAGGGAAAGGGATGCATTTCCCAGACACAGGAAAGATCAGAAGTTGAGTGCTAACAGGAAGGGAGCCATGTACCCGTCACAGGCTCTGTCCCACGGCTCCACAGGATAAGGTTGGGGTACAGAATGCATTGGCCAGGAAGCCTGGACCCAAGGAACTGCTACCAACTGTAATTTGAAAGCTCCTGTGACAAGTCTCATTGGTTTACTGAGATAGGGTCTCACTTTGTAGTTCAAGCTGGCCTCGAACTAAAGACAATCCTCCTGCAGCCTCCCAAGTATTAAGAGGCATTCACCACCATGCCCAGCAATGCCCGTTTGCATGTGGGAACATGGAGGTTCTGAGTTAGCATGACCTCCCCAAGGCCCAAGGTTAGTGAAACCCAGGTGCCCCGATCCTTTCTCTGTGTTCACTGCCTCGTGTCTACACTAACACGTCAATACTTCCACGTGTTTTCTTTTGGGGGATGGGAGGGATGCTGGGGATGGAGCTCAGGGCCTCACACATGCCAGATGAAATGAGTCAGATGTAGGGTGTGGGAGTAACAGCTCACATCTGTAATCCAGCAATTGGGAGGCCGAGCCAGAAGGCTCTCTGCAAGTTCGAGGCCAGCTTGGGCTACATAGTGAATTCAAGGTCAGTCTGAACCACAAACCAAGATGCTATCTTAAAAACAAACATGGAGAGTTAGCTACTGGTACGTAACTTCCAAAAAGAAAACAGGCAATTTTCTCAGGGTGAAAGTCTAGAGCACTGCCGGGCGTGGTAGCTCACGACATAATCCCAGCACTCGGGAGGCTGAGGTAGGAGGATCTTTGCGAGTTCAAGACCAGCCTGGGCTACAAAGTGAGCTCGAGGCCAGCCTGCACTGCATAGTGAGACCCCGTCTGACAAAAAAAAAAAAAAAAAAAAGTCTAAAGCACTAAAAAGAAAGAAACACACATTGTGCTGTGTCCAGACTTGTGAACTGCCCACGAAAGCCCTAGAGACTGCACAACTTCACACACAGGAAGTGGATCCTACTGAACAAACTGGACTACAAGGGGTTTGCTTTTGTTTAAAATTGAGCTTTATTTTTATTTTGGCACCACAGCTGACAGTTTACAGAACAGGTCCCACTGGGCCACCCCAGAGAGCCTGTGACACCACGATGCAACGTGTTTAGCATTGGAAGAAGAGCCTGTTGCTGGCTTTCCACACAGTGAACCTGACTCTGACATCCACAGCCACGCTCAGGACGCCTGCAGTGGCTTTAGGCAGGCAAACCATTGTTCATTCCTCCTAAAAACCTTCATTCAAACTGATCACCGTGCCTATTAGCACACTCTGCTCATGCGTGGTGCAAGCTCCATCTCAGCCCATCTTTTCCTGCTTTTGGAGTTAGACTCACTCTGTAAGCCCAGATCAGTCTTAAACTTGTGGTGATCCTCCTGCATCAGCTTTCTGAGTGCTAGGATCACAGGTGTGCTCTGCTGTGCTGGGCTACATTATATCACAGTACAAACTAAAAACATCTCAACAAAGGTACCTACTCTGTTGTGTGCACCCCCAGCATTGCAGGAAGCAGATTCCAAATTAAGGGGAAAGAAAGTCCTGTGCTGTCCAATGTGACCCGCTTCTGGTCCTCATCTGGGACACCCAGCTCCCCCAGTGCACTCTGGGACTCAGGCCCTGCCCATAGCACACATCTGCTCTGTGTCTCCAACCCCTTCCTCATATGAGGAGGCTAACTTCCCACCACCCAGGCTTGCATGTCAAACCTTTACAGGGGCTTCCATGGGAACAAGGTGGTGTGGGGGCCAGCCAGAGGTGGCTCAGGCCAGCTCAGAGTGAAATGATTAGACACCACCAGCTCCCCAGATCCCAGAGGCAAGAGAAGCAAGGAAGAGACCAAGTGGTGCAGGTTCCTGCTCATGACTGTTGTAGATTAAGAAAGGTAATTTCATTCTCTCTACCACGTGGACACTTGCCTTAGGGAGCTACCCCATCTGCTAAGGGACTGCACCTGTGAAAATCTCACTAGCCACATGGGACAAATACGTAAAACGCACACTGACAAATTTCTAAATCTGGTATCTCCCAAATACAGCTGCCTTCGGTCTCTTTATTATTGCTTCTCTGCAACACAGTGGTGATGACAGGTGACGAAAGCACATCAGGAGCGCCAGAAGGAAGAGGTCAGAAAGCCCTTGGGGACAGGAATCTCCTTGTGTTGCAAACATTTCTGGGTAGGGAAAACAAAATGAGTTTCTGATCACACTGCTTCCCACGCGGGGCCGAGAGAATACTGAGGGACCACGAGGTAAGTCCTGCAGGGCAGTGGGCAGAAGAGGAAAAAGTCTAGGGGTGAGACAACGATGGTTCTGTGTGGGGCTGGAGAAAACGCCTGAGGCAGTTGTCACACTAGGCTTTGGAAAGTTGGGGGGCTGCCAACATGACAGACTTACTGTGGAATTAAAAATGAACCCCTCAAAATTTCTTAGTAAGCCAGGCACAGTACCATCACTTCCCAGTACCACCAAAAACAAAAAATCACAATAGAATATCTTGGTAGCTGAGGAGAGCGCCCAGCACTTGTAATGCGCAGCATCTGCGAAGACTGAGCAGGATCCAGCTGGCAATGAGCATGGCCCTGTCTCAAAACACAGTAACAACAGAAAAACCTCACAAAGAGAAGGCAGCTCGGTGTGGTGCGGTCTATTCTCATGGAGAAAATGATCACACTACCAGGGTCCTGGCCTAAGACTGAGAAAAGAACAGTGGCCAACATGCAAAGAACTGTACTGGTGAGAGAGGATTCACTAACTGTATGAACCTCCCCAAAGGACCGCTGCCTTTCGGAGAATGGAGAATGACATGCATGAAGATGAAACACACCAGCTCTGAGTTCAAAAGGGGAAACTGGAAACCAAGAGCACCATTTGGGAAACTTGGGAGGAGACTGCAAGCAGTGTCTGGAGGCCCAGACTTCTCAGTGATGCAGCAGTCCAGGCCAAGAGCCGGGACGTGCTGGGCTGGGGGCAGCTTACCTCCAGGAACTGCTTGAGGCGTATGAAGGAGCCCATCTGTCCTGAGCTCGTGACGGCTTCGATTCTGAGGGTGGGAGAGGGGGAGAACGGAGACCTGTGAATCCCACCCGGGGCTCGCCTCTTCCTGAGAGGCCAGGGCAAAATGCAGACCTAGGGACTTGAAGTGCTGTCTCCTAGGCTACATGTGCTCTACTTCCCACATGCCCCACACAAGGGACAAAGGACAAGAGAGCGCTGCTGCCCTCTGTGATCAGGTGGGATGGACCATGCCACGCCTTCCTCACCGGAGTTGAGAAGCAGGAGAGGTACTGAGATCAGGTCCACACTCCTCGTGGGATGGCTTGTGTTTAGACATCTCTCCCCCCAAAGCCTCCTGCACTCGCAGGTGGGGCTTCTCGAGAGTGTGTGTCTGTGTAAGGTGCGATGCTAGGACCAAGGGTGGGTGATGCTGGGTGGTGGCCGGATCGGTCCAGCACCCTAATCCGGTAGACTGGATACAATATAAGGGACAGAAAGAGCCTGGTCTTGCTTGCTTCGCTACCTTCTGCCCACCATGAACTGTTTCTCCCCTGCAATGCCACTTGCCATGCCACCCTGCCTTGGAGCCAGCCGAGTATGGACTGAAACTTCTATAAACCATGAGCTAAACAAGCCTTTCCTCCTTTACCTTTGGGTGTCAAGTATTTTGTCTCAGCAATGAGAGAAAAGTATATCACACGTTTCTACTGACTAAATGAGGGCACTTGCCTCTGTGACATGTAATTGCCATTCCAGAATATCTGGGTAGTTTGGAAAAAGAGTATTTTTTTTTTTTTTTTTTTTTTTGTCTTTTTCATTTTTATCGGTACCAGGGATCGAACTCACGACCGCCTGCCTGCAAGGCAGGTGCTTATGCCGCTGAGCTAAATCTCCAGCCCCTAGAAAAAGAGTATTTTAAAAATGCCAGCTACCCTAGCCAGGCGTGGTGGCTCACGCCTGTAATCCCAGCACTCAGGAGGCTGAGGTGGGAGGATCCTTGCGAGTTCGAGACCAGGCTGGGCTACAAAGTGAGCTCAAAGCCAGCTTGAACTGCATAGCGAGACCCCGTCTCAAAAAGGACAAAAAAAAAAAAAAAAAAAAAAAAAAAAAAAAAAAAAGCCAGCTACCTATTCGAAGACTTTCTACTTTGTGCTGGGCTTAGCCAACAGGATTTCAGAGTGATTCTCATTAGAGCTAAAAACTATTTGTTCAAATCAAATAGAAGGACTGGATAGGAAGAGAAAGAGCTCATCCTTAACACAGGCTTTTCTCTTTTGGGGTTCAACCCAGGGCCTTGCACATGCTAGAGGAGCACTCTATCCCTGACCTTAAACATGTTTCAATGTGAGGCAAACCTCACAGGAAATAAACAGCACTCAAGGGGATCTGACGCCTGGTTCACGAGTCTGACCAAGTCCCTGTGCCCACCACACATGTCTGCTACCTGAGCAAGTATTCCTCTTTGATGAGAAGCACCATCTTCCAGAACTGGACCTGGTACTGCTTCACGAGGGCATGGCCACACACCTGGGGAACAGATGGGCACTGTGAGCAGACGTGGGACATTTACTGAGCACGCTCGCCCTTTGGCTTTTACAATACAAGTGACCTAGCTAACAAGGAAATGAATGGAAAAACCCAACTTTTTTTGTCTTTTTGAAATGGTCTCGCTATGCAGTTCAGGCTGGCCGTGAGCTCACTTTGTAGCCCAGGCTGGTCTCAAATTCACAACAATCCTTCTGCCTCAGCTTCCCGAGTGCTGGGATTATAGACGTGAGCCACCACATCCGGTTTTTTTCATTTTTTTGTAATAGAGATTAAACTCAGTATCTCATGCTTGCCAGGCAGGTACTTGCGCCACTGAGCTAAATCCCTGGCCCAAAACCCAACTTTCTGCTATGCTAGGAGGAATGCTCTTCGATGCCTTTCTGTGTAGAAAATACCTTCACTTAACCAGACTGTCAGGACTCAGCAGAAGCCTTCTGGATAATCCAGAGCCCCTAGTCTTAGGAAAAGATCCCAACATGCACCTGTGTTCTCAGAGACTAAGCTCCTGTTCACACAGAACTTTGGAAAGAGACAGAATGATACCCTTAGCCAAATGGTCCCAGGCTGGTCCTGGTGTGCACCTAACCTTCCCTAGGGAGTACATCCTTTCTGTAGAAACTCTTGCCTTGCCCACCAGGAGCTCTCTTAGCTATAGCCAGAAGCTTCCAGAGCCTTCTCAGTGGGACACACACCTGACACAAGCCAGCCCATCTGGGGACGAGAGCTCAGGAGAGCAGGATACCGGAGCCACCACACTGAGGCTGAATGACAACCCAGGATGGCCACTTCCCTTACTGTGCACAGGAAAATGGGAAGAGCTGGCCTCCACAGCAAGGCTGAGGCAGGATGCAGGAAGAGGGCAGGGAAGAGCACCCAGACCAGTGTCCATGGGCTCTGGTCTGGGTGCTAGGGGGATTCTGGCTCCAGGAGACACAGAGGCATACGTGGCCCCTGGTTCTGGGAGTCCTTCACATCCCTGAAGTGAATGGTTCTTTCACTTCTGCTAGGATGCACCCATTCTCTTTACTATTAAAAAAGCATCTACCTGAAGAAGGCAGGTACAGGCAGGTAGCTCACGAATATCTGTGACACTAGCCCAGTGCTGTTCACCACCAGGTTCCCTTTCTTTTCTGAGACACAGTCTCATTACGTAATCCAGGGTGGCTTTGAATTCACAGCAATTCTCGTGCCTCAGCCTTCTGGGTGCTAGGATTACAGGCGTGCACTACTATGCCTGGGCTCCATTTCTGTATTATTCACCTATTCATGTCACTCAGGGTCCTGAGGTCATCTCTGCCAACTGGCTTTCTCTTGTGTGAGGACTGAATCACATACCTCTAAGAAGTCAAAAAGGATAGTGGCCGTCACATCAGACAGAGGCTCCATATTCACAACCTGTGCCAACCAGCGCCAGCCGTGACTCAGGCCATGAGGGTGGGTCTGGAGGGAGAGAAGCCTGGGTGTGACTCGACTTGCTTGTAGCAGGTATCTAAACTCCTACTACACATGAACCCCACAACCAGCCAGGCCAAGCGCACCCCCAGGGCAGAGTGACACAGCTGAACACATTTCTGTGTGACACATCCTTCAATGTGCCAATCAATGTGTAAGATTTTTTCTGTACTGGGGATTGAAAAAAGGGGTAGTGTGGGCAAGGAGTCCACCAGTGAGCTATGTCCCCAGCCTTCTCCTAATTATTTTCAAATGGGTTCTTCTTGAATTGCCGAGGCTAGACTTAAACCTGTGACCCTCCTGCCTCAGCTTCCCAAGTGGCTGGGATTATGGGCATGTGACACCATGTCTGGCTCTTACTGACATTTTATTGTTTTTTTATGTTTTTCGTTTTTATCGGTACCAGGGATCGAACTCACGACTGCCTGCTTGCAAGGCAGGCACTTATGCCGCTGAGCTAAATCCCCAGCCCCAACATTTTATTATTCTTGGTACCTTTATTTGTTTTGTCTTTTTGAAACAGGATCTCACTATGCAGTTCAGGCTGGCCTTGAGCTCACTTTGTAGCCCAGGCTGGTCTCAAACTCTAAATGATCCTCCTGCTTCAGCCTCCTGAGGGCTGGGATTACAGGCATGAGCCACCATGCCTGGCTGTTGATACCTTTAGCACGCAGCCTGTATATTAAAAATTTCTTGACTTCAATCAGCTTGTTTTCCCTTTGGGTCTCCAGGTCCCTTGCCTCCCATCTCTCTAACCTGTGTGCCTGCAGAAAGACCTGGGTGGACCCCCAGGCATGTTCTCTCCTTCTAACTTTGAGTCTCCAGCTGCCCATCTGTGAGGTAAGGAGAGGACCTAGATGGCTTCCAAGGCTGCAACCAGGTCTAAGGTGATAATTTCTTCATCACTGCTCTATTACACAGTTCTCAGGCTGGGTACAGTGGCACCTGTAACCCCGGCTGCCTGGGAACAGAGCGAATGTTGACGGCCACCTGGGTTATGCTGGGAGACAGACCCGTCCCACAGCCAGCAAAAGGTTGGGAATAGAGCAGAGTGGGAGGTCCCAGGCTCCAGAAGGAAGAAGAAAAGAAAGAAGGAGGCAGGAAGGCAGAAGGGAGGGTGGGACTGGAGGCTGGGAAGAACCTCAGAGGGCGAGCACTTGTTTAGCATATGAAAGGCCCTGGTTCTATTCCTAGCACTGCCAAAAATAAAATAAGTAAATAAAATCCTTGTGAGCCTACCATTGATAAAGAGCAGCCTTTCCTCTGGTAGAGGATGTTTGCCAAGCAGGCACTCACTCGTAGAGCTAAACCCCCAGCCTGGTAGACAATGTTATAAACCCTGTTGTTTGAGGCTCCAGATGAGTCAGCCACCAAACAAATGGTGCTTATTGATTCAAAAAAGCTCCCAACAATCAGCATCTACTTCTCTCCAAGACCTGTATGCAGTGATTGCACTTCCCCGAGGGCTGAAAGGGAGGCAGTCACTGGCAGCCAGCCCAGGCCCTACCAAAAGGTGCGGGACCCTGGAAGGCGTGGCTGCTGGATGAAGTGAAGTGGCAGAGCCACGCCTGGAAGGGGATTACCGGAACCTCTCCTCAGTTTCCCCTGCCTTTTTATGGCACTGAGGACTGAACTCAGGGCCTTCATGTGGAATTATATCCTTAGTCCTTTCTGTTCTGTTGAGACAGGATATCACAAGGACACTAAGTTGCCAAGGCTGGGATCAAACTTGCAACCCTCCTGCTTCAGCTCCCAGAGTGCTAGGATTATAGGTATGTGCTTCCACGACACGACATCGCTGCCTTTTGTTTTCTTTTTGACGAATGTTTTTTTCTACATCTCTTCAGCTATCTTATGATTATTCTCATTATTCCTTTTTTTTGGTACCGGGGATTGAACTCACGACCTCCCACTTGCCAGGCAGGTGCTTATGCTGCTGAGCAAATCCTTTGCCCCATAGCTGCCTTTTGCTTCCCAGCTTCCCTGAGGTAAGCCGCTTTATCCCACCCACACAGCTACGCTACAGGGCTTTCTCACTACAGACCTCAAAGCAGTGAGGCCAGGTGACTATGGACAGAGATTTCTGAGACCCTGAGCTCAAATAAACCTTTGTCCTTGGAAGCTGCTTACCTCAGGTATTTTGTTACAGTGACAGAAAGCTGACTAATATCAAGGGCAGGACACACTAACATGTCCTCAGTCCCAGGTACCCAGAGTAAGCCTTTGGAACCTACTGCTTGCTGGTTCCCATATGGCCAGCGGAGCTGGATGATGGCAGCATAGAGGCGGATCATCCCAGACATGCGTTTCAGAAAGTTGTCCTGCTGCTCCACCTTTGATTCCTTTACTTGGTAGCCAAGCATTCTATGTGGGGAAAAAAGGAACGCTAAGATGAGCCCAAAACAAAGGTGACAAATCAGAGGTCAAAAAACAGCTGGGACTACCACCATTACTGTAAGCATTTCACATTATTAGGTATCACTCCATCTGTGGGGTGCTTTGCTTACAAAGCATGCATGTCCACACTCAACTTACTCCAGGGACACTCTGCACGGTACACCAGGAGGTGACGGATACCATTCATTACTCCACTCACAAATAAAGAAACTGATGCGTGAAGGGCTTAGACTATCTACCCAATTTGCAAAGCTATTGAATGAAAAGCAAGGATCAATTCCAAGATCCCTGGACTCTCGATCTGGCATTCTTCCTAGCAAAGGAAACACACTGTTGGTGCCTAAATACACAAGTCCCAAAGCTGTCCACTTGCATGAAGCACACTGTATTTTTTTTTTTTTTTTGTCTGTCTTTTTCGTTTTTTATCGGTACCAGGGATCGAACTCACGACTGCCTGCTTGCAAGGCAGGTGCTTATGCCGTTGAGTTAAATCCCCAGCCCCACACACTGTATTTTTTGATCAAATATTCCAGATACCACAGAGGAACTTGAGGAGGAAAATGAACCCCGATTCTATTTATGTCGCACTGGTCCCCTAGGGAGAGCGAAGAGAAAACCACCTCACCGCTGGTAGTCTTCCAAAGCCATGCCCTCCCTGAGCGCTGGGTAGAAAGGAACAGAGTAAGGACACTTTTTGTGCAGGTGGGCAAGGATGAGATCCCCAACTCTGGGGTGTAGCTCCCAGATGCCGGAGGCCACAACCGCAATGGGGAAAGCTGCTTCGTGGTGGGAGGCCACCTCCTCCTCGCCTTGTTTCTGGGAACAGAGAGAGAGTCACTTTCCCATCAGCACCGGGAAGGCTTACTGCAGTGCACCAGCCGCTTCTGCCCACACCGCTGGCAACAAGCTTCCTCACCACAAATTTCTCGGCCAGCTTGTACTGCACGAAGTCCAGCCCCTGCGGGTTCTGTGTGATGGACACGCAGTGCCCACCTGACTGGATGGGCTTTCCAGACAGCAGGCTGTGGATCTTGTCAAAGATCTCCTTCAGCTTCGAGCCTGGAAGAGAGAGACAGAGAGAGAGAAGGAGGGAGGGGAAGAGACAGAAACAGAGGCAATGTGAAGATTCAGCTGCATGCCATTCTCTTCCTCATCATGTAATGCTAACGGCATCTCAGACCAAGCCCAGCAGCCGTACAGCAGTTTAACAAAGCCTGAAGCCAAAACCCAGTCAAATCCACACTGAGGGCGGTGTGGAAGTATACAAATCGTGGTCCTGTCCCTCCCCTGGTTTGGAAATGAAATAACTGTAAAGCCAACACATAAGAAGAGAAGGTGCCAGACAGTGACCCAGGGGCAGGAGTGGGAGATGTCCCTAGAGTCATTAGTCACATCGCTAGGACTAAGGGACCTCTCTAGGTCCTTCCTAGGGAAAGACAGTCTCCCCCTCTCTGGGGACTGGCTTCCTCCAGTCTCGCACACACAGCTGGCTTCAGTGTCCCTGTCACACACACTCGGGAGCCACAGTGGGGACCAGCACCTGCTGTATGTACCACAGGACAGCAGCGTGTGCCATGAGGATGGAAGTGGAGACAAGGAAGGAAGAACTGAAGGTTCTAGCTCCTGAGACCAACCCCCTACCTGTCGCTGGGTTGTACGAGATGACCCTTCATCCTGGGAACATGTCCTTTTTAATTTTTAAAGTAAAATAAAGTAAAAGAAGCCAATTTATTTGAAAAACGGAGGCAGGGAGTGATAGCACACCTGTAACCCCAGCACTCAGGAGGCTGAGGTAGGTCTGCTGTGAGTCTGAGGCCAGTCTGAACTACACTGTGAAACCCTGAAGAGGGACAGGAGGAAAAGATATGATAAACAGCTACTATGCACGAGTAGGCAAAATGCGAAAGGAAAATTTTCCTTTTCTTAACATCTCTAAATTAATTTCAGGAGGGAACCAAGAATCAAATAAAGAGATACCACAGAGCCCCAAGTCCTTGGAGGATAAAAAGGGACATTTCCACACACACCTCTCCAGCTCACATTCCTGTGTACTCCTGTCACCAATGAGGGATCTTCAAGGGCCCTCGGGCCCCACCCCCACCAATGACTTAATGGCTTTGTTTTCCTGCAAGGGCTAGGAAGGCAGCTCAGTGGCAGAGCACTGACCCAGCATGCACATGGGCTCAATCCCTTGCACCCCAAAAATTAAAAAATTAAAACTGTCTTTGAACCTAACTGCTCTTGGCCTTCCTCTCTCCCATTTCTCTGTCTTGCCCTTTTTCCCCTCCTCTCTTCTAGTACTAAGGAATCTAAACCAGGAGTGCTCTACCTGAGCTACATCCCCAGCCCCCCTCCTTTATTATGCTGGCCAGGCTGGCCTTGACTACATGATCCTCCCTGCCAGCCTCCCTTGTAGCGGGACTATAGTCCCACACCACCACGCCTGGCTCAGCCTTTAGGAGACAAAAAAACAGATCCTTTTCTCTCTCTCATTCAGCAATTCCTGCGTGCTAATTCCAGAGCGTGACCCATGTCTGGCTGGCTGGGAACTCAACAGGCTTACAGCAAGGATGGCAACACAGGGGCAGAGCCTAGGAATACGTAACATGAACAAGCCCCAGCAAGACTAGGCTAACTGGATGGGGAACCAAACAGGAAGCAGCCAGTTAAGGTGATGGGGTAAAGGACCACTGATTACTTCGAGAAAACAGGAAGAAAATGAGGTACTCAGGGATGATGATCTGCACACTGCACTGGAGGTCACTGAGACACCTGGGCAGAGATGTCCTTTAGGTGGCTGAGCTAGAGAGCCCCTGTCCCCTGAGGAGAGAGGTGACCAGGAGCTGGGAGTCACTAGGACCCAGGTACAGTGTGAGGCCTGCAGGGGGAGAACAGGATGAGAGCAGCTTGCTGGGAAACACAAGTAAGGCAGGGGTATACATGGACAGGACCCATGGGAGGGAGCTGGAAATGCCGCAGATCTGGAAGCCGAAGGAATGATGGCTGTTTGTTTTTGTGGTGCTAGCGACTGAACCCAGGAACTTTTCCCCAGCCTTAAAAAAAATTTTTTTTGAGACAAGGTCTTGCTAGGTCATTAAGTTACCCAGGCTGGGCTCGAACTTGTGACTTGCCTGGTTCAGCCTCCCAGAATGCTGGGACTACAGGCATGTAGGCACCAACACCACCAGGCCTACTCCTGGCTGCGGGTGTCTTACAGGAAAGAGGGAGGAGAAAGGGGAAAACAGGAGCAGAAGATCCACCAGGAGGCGAGTGTTGCCTGCATGCTTCAAGGCTGAGGGCTTGCAGCCTGGAGTGAGTGCCTGCACAAGCAGGAGAGAATGGCCGCGAGCGCAGGAGCCCTTGGGAGAAGGAGCAGGGCAGCGGGAGGTCAGCTGGAGTGCTCAGAGCCAAGTGGGTGACAGGCGTTGCAGCCACCCTGTGCCTTGTGTCCATGCGGACCAAGGGGAAAGCACAGGAGAAAAGGGAGCAGTGGGGCCGTGGTGTGGCTGTGCAGGTGCCTCTGCCCCTGGCTGCCGTCAGAACTGGGCACTGTAAATCCTGCCCAGCCATATGCTCCTGTATTTATACTCTGCCCTGCCACCGAAAGAATGTCATACAAGTTGACAGGTAACTCTGTTCTAAGGCCTCTCAAGGACAAGAACTGCACTCTCCTGTGCTTCTTAGGCAACAAGTTAATGTGGCGCTGAGCCATGGTGACAGCAGATCCTCGGCGGGGTGGCAGTCCGTACTTGGGAGGCAGCCTCATTAGAGCCGTGTAAAAATGCCGTGGGGGCTGGGCATTTAGTTCAGCGGCCTGACAAGCGCAAGATCCTGAGTTTGGTTTCCGGTACCCCCTCAAAAAAGAAAAATGTGTATTTAAGAGTTGTCCTATGTAATTTTTTTCTTACTGCCAGGTGTGGTAGTACATACCCATAACCTGAACCCCTGGGAGGCTAGGACAGGAAGATCCCTGCCAGCTCCAGGCCAGCACGGGCTAACACAGTGAGGTCCGGGCCAGCTTGAACTATGTAGCAAAACCCTTTCTCAAAAAGCCAAATAAATACATATCCACATATGTAAATCTATTACTACGTAGCTTATTTAAAATCAGTCAGTGGGCACATGATGGCACATGCCTGCAACCCCAGTACTCTGGGAGGCTGAGGTATGAGGGTCATACATTTGAGCCCAACCTGGGCAGCCTAATGACTTAGTGTGGATCTACCTGAAGGCTGTGGGTTTAACCCTAAGCGCTGAAGGAAAAAAAAGTCAACAAACACACAATGATTATATTATCACCTACGCACTGAAGAAAAAGGGGAGAAAATCAGGCTCTATCAGTTTATACACACCCGCAGCAACACTCGACATCTGTCTGAATGTACTTTTCTTTCTCTGCAGTGTTGGGGATGGAAGAAGCCGGGCCCTGTACATGCCAGACAAGGACTCTGTGCTGCGGCCTGAGCATCGAGTCTGCAACCCTGAAACCTGAGGGGAGGGTTGTATTCCTGCCCTCCCGACCCACCTGCGATGGTGGAGATCTGGCTCACGGGGATGGTGGCGGCCTTCTGCAGGTCCATCTTGACCTTCTTGGTCTGTTGGAGAATGGTGAGAAGGCAGCGTTCTCAAGAGCCAAGCAGATGCTCTTGGAGTTAGGGAATTCCTATGGCAAGAGGCCTGCCACTCTGTCATCCATTACTCCTCACCTGTGTGTCCTTGCTGCTGGTCAGGCCCTCAAAGGCTGACATGCACTGGGCAGCAGCATCCTGCAGCTGCTGGTACCACTGCATCGTACTCTCCTGCACCTTCATCTGCAGGCCTGGGCACAGAGGACAGACGTCAATAGCAGCAGGGGTTTGGAGCCTGCGACAGGCTGGGGTGGCACTCATCTCTGCTCATGTGGGGGCTGCTTTTGTGATCATAGCAGCATTGTGAAACAGGTATTGGCATTAGCTCCATCTCATGGATAAAGGAACTGGTCCAGAAGGGTTAAAGGCTTCGCCATGGCGACAGGGCCCGGCCGCACACACTATGCTCTACAGCTTCTCACACATGCGAAGGGAACTTCATGAGAATCTGCACCTATTTACTCCAAACACTCAGCACCAGCAACACTGGAATGATACATCTGCTGGAACCCAGGAACCGTCCGCACCACACCCACCTTCACTCTGTGTCCTGCTTGGGCTCTGGCTGGGGCCTGGGGTCCGAGGGGTGGCCCCCAGCCCCTGTTGCATCTGTGAGTCCTGCAACTTAGCCCGGTCTGCCTCCTCCTCCTGCCTCTTCTCCCTGCAGGCTCTGCTGATCTCCTGGCCCAGGCTGGTGCACAGGTCTCGCATCTCCTGCAGTGCCCGCTTGGCCTCAGCCTGGTTCTCCACCGTGGGGTAGCCGCTCTGCAGAGTGAGGGACATGGGGCATGGGCTAAGCCACCAGGGGCCCATGAAGGCCCATCGCACCCCACACAAGGTGAGGTGTCTCTGGCCAGGGGCACGGCTGTACTCCCACACGTCACCTCCTTTCTGCCCAAGGGTCCACTGCTGTACCCCAGCTATCTATGCCGCAGCGCCCACGCCCTCAGCACCACTGGCCAGGGTCTCTTAATAGTTTGTATCAGGGACATAAGATTCTGTTCTACTGTGTATGCTACAGATGTCTCCTAATTTGTAATATTTTCAGTGTTTTATGTTTTCATATCAATTTTTCCTTTATGATTTTTTTTTTTTTCAGTACCAGGGATCGAACTCATGATCAGGCACTTGCAAGGCAGGCACTTATGCCACTGAGCTAATCCCCAGCCCTATGATTTGTTTTTATTGCTATGCTTAGAAGGAGGCTCTATACCTTACAGTCTTAAATCCAAATATCCAAGAAATATGGGATAAGATGAAAGTGTGGTATCCATTCAATCTTTATGCATCAATGTAATTGACCTTTCCTTCATTGATTTTATTTTTATGCTTTGTAGTGCTGGGAATCAAATGTGCATACTAAGCAGTCTCCCACAGAAACCCATCCCAAGCCCTAGAGATAGGTTTCAAAATACACACGTATACATATACATACAATACATGGCCTGACTTTTCTCTCTTTCTTTTATTTTTGCAATGCTAGAGATGGAGCTGGGAGCCTTCGGCACGAGAAGCCAAGTGCTGACCCAGTGCTACACGCCCAGTTCTGACCCTGGTGCCCGCTGTCACGGAGACAGGGTTCTGGGCCCTCCCTCACTGATATAAAGTGATATTAGCTCAGGTTCTAGCTCAGGGGCACAGCTCTTGCCAAGCACATCGAAAGCCTGGTGTGATCACCAGCACTGAAAAAAATTACTATGTATTTCTACATATGCACACATAAAATGCTAACATCAGTCAGGCATCGCATAAGGATATTCTGCCAAAGACAGACCAGAGTGCTCCATTAAGACGCCATCAGGTAATGACACCCTGGGTTTGTTGACTGCACTCTATGATATTTGCACAACTATGAAATTGCCTAACAAATCTCTCAGAAGGTGTCCCTGTTACTAAACAACACACAACTATGTATTCATTATCTACGAAAAATGTGTCTTGGGGCTGGGGATTTAGCTCAGTGGCATAAGCACCTGCCTTGCAAGCAGGCGGTTGTGAGTTCGATCCCGGGTACCGGTAAAAAGATTTAAAAAAAAAAAAAAAAAAAAAATGTGTCTCTTCCTGGGCTTGGTATATGCTGCTCCAATAACCCTGCTGTGTACTCCTTCCCCAAGAACAAACTGCTTTCACTTTCCTGCTAGTGTCTCTACTTTGATAACACAAGTCCGCCATCACTAATTATCTGAAGATGGTCCCATATATTTTGGGACATGTTTCATACCTTACTTTATGAAAGTTTCAGAAATATTCATCTAGAAATAGTCATTCCTTTATTTATTGACTGGTTGGTCTTTTTTTTTTTGGTCTTTTTCATTTTTATCGGTATCAGGGATCGAACTCATGACTACACACTTGCAAGGCAAGGCGCTTATGCTGCTGAGCTAAATCCCCAGCCCCAACTGGTTGGTCTTTATAGTCCATTATACTTATAACTTCTTTTGTCAGAATATTTTGAATTTTGGTCACATTATTTAAAAATGCCAGCCAAGCATGATGTGCACACTTCAACACTCTGGAAGGCTGAAGCAGGGGGTCACAAATTTCAATCTCACCCAGGAAATTCAGCAAGACATGGTCTCAAAATAAAAATTAAAAAGGGCTGGGACTGTAGGTCAGTGATAAACTGTCCCCAGCTTCTATCCCCAAGGATGAAAACAAACAAACAAAAAACCAAAAAGGTCACGACAGTGGCAGGACATCCACAAGAGAAAACTCTGGAGTCTAGGAAAGTGATGTAAAGGAACGATTGGCGCCTGCATGCTGCTGATTACTGATCTGTGCGATACACTGCTTAGCACAAACCAGCCAGGGACAGAGAAGTGGGTGACTCCTCACCCTGGGAGCACTTTGTTCACAAGTGTTTGAGGACAGGTCTTCCTGCACAGTCCAAAGGTGGTATGTACCCAGCATGGCCTCAAATGATGATGTTCTTGTCTCAACCTCCTGAGTGCTTGGATTAGACTTTACTACCACCCTCAGCCTTGTTTTCATACTTAAGCTAAAAGAAACCATCTTTTGCAGAGAGGATAAGAACAGAGTAGAAAGGCATGGGGGCACACACCTGTAACCCTGGCACTGGGGAGGCTGAGGCAGGAGAAGAGCAAGAACAAGTTGAAAAAAAATCTCTAAGTTAAAAGCAAAATCACTGGGGCTGGGGATTTAGCTCAGTGGCGTAAGCACCTGCCTTGCAAGTGTGCGGTCGTGAGTTCGATCCCTGGTACCGATAAAAAAACGAAAAAGACAAAAAAAAAAAAAAAAAAAAAGCAAAATCACTGCCTGGAAAGCACGAGGTTTCGAGTTCAATCCCCGGTACCACCAAAAAAAAAAAGCCAAATGAAATAAATGATCCCAATCTTTCAGTAAGTTGGTCACTTAAGGATATTTTTAAGAAAAGGTAAACTGCCAGGTGTGGTGGTACACTCCTGTACCCCAGCACTCAGGAGGCTAAAGCAGGAGGAGGATCACTGCAAGTTCAAGACCAGCCTGGGCTACAAAGTGAGCGCAAGGCCAGCCTGAACCACATAGCAAGACATATCTCAAAAAGACAAAAAAAGGGGTTGGGGATTTAGCTCAGTGGCATAAGCGCCTGCCTTGCAAGCAGGCAGACATGAGTTCAATCCCTGTTTCGATAAAAAAGAAAAAAAAAAAAAGAAAAAAGGGAAACTAATTTTACTACCCATTCACACAACACAGCTATGGCAAAAAGATCTCTTCCTTTTGGCTTTTTGAGACAGGGTGTCACTATATGGCCCAGGCTGGCCTCAAACTTGTCCCAATTCTCCTGCCTCACTCCCCTGAGTGCTAGGATTACAGACATGTACCGCCATGTCTGGCTATAAACAATTTTTTTTTCTTCATTGAGACAGGGTCTTGCTATGCAGTTCAGGCTGGCCTTAAACCCACTATAGAGCCCAGGCTGCTCTGGAACTCACAGTGATCCTCTCCTGCCTTAGTGCCCTGAGTGCTGGGATTATGGGTGTGCATCACCACACCTGGCTAGAAACAAAAATTTTTAATCTAAAACATAAAATAAGAAATGCAGGGAAAAAACATGAAAATGTTACCCTGCTTGTTCTGGGCAAGCAGGTGACAGCAGTCACTGTTCCTTCCCCCAGGAAACAGGCATTACTCTGGGGGTGGCACCCCCAGCCCGCCACACCCTAGGCCACTCTGCTCCTGAGCTGCACCCCCAGCCCAGGCACTTCTTTTCAATCAGAAAACACCGCTCTTCTTGCTCCAGTCCAAAGACAGAGAGGTGCCTGGTGACTCTCACCTCCAGGGTGGCACGGATGATGCTGGAGATGAGGCTGCATAGCTGGTTGCCACGCATGCGGAAGGCCGCCAGGTCGAGCTGCAGCGGGTCCCTGTGCAGGTCGGAGGCACTGGAGGCAGAGGCTTCTAGCTGCTGGTTGAGCTGCAACACCTCCTCCTGCAGGGCGTAGAGCGTCCGCAGGCGGCCCTGGCCCTCCTCCTTGCGCAGCCGCTCCTGCTCCTCCTTGCGCAGCCGCTGCTGCTCCGCCTCGCGCAGCTTCAGGTTGAGAATCTGCACAGGGCCCACTGGGGTCAGCAGGGCTTCAGCCATAGTTGGTCACAGGGGCAGGCTCTGCCTATTCCCACCCCACCCTGGACACTGACTTTGGCTCGGTGGTGATGCTCCGCCTTGAGCTTCTCCTGGTGGCCCAGGACTTCTCTGGTGCTGCATGGAGACAGCAGAGAGGAAGAGGCAGGGGTGCTTGCTAGGCCTGGGTCCCCCCAGGCTTCCTTGCTGGACGCACAGGCCACTTGCTAGTCAGAAGCTGCCCTGCCAGCTCTGATGATCTCAGCTCGTGGCTCGTGTCCCGTCCCCCCCCGCCACACACACACACCAGCTGGGGCTCACTCACCTCCTCTCCATCACCTCCTGCAGCTCCTGGAACTCCTTGTGCTGCTTCAGCATCTTCAGCTCATCGAAGCGCTTCAGCTGTTCCGATGCCATCTCCGACAGGGCATGCACCTTCTGCTCCTGCTCTTCCTGCCACTGCCGCAAGCCCTCCTGAAAGGCAGCAGCCCTGCCCTGGGACTGTTCCCAGGACAGTCCTCTGCCCTCGGCGTCCCTCCCCTCTCTTCCCCTCAGTCCTCAGCTCCTGAGAGACCTCAAGGGCCCAGACTCATACACCCACTCCTGGGGACCACTGGGGCCCGCTGTCTTGTGGGGCCATCTTTACGGTTTGCCCCGTATGGTGTCTTTCTAGCACGTACTGGAAGGGACAGGTACTCAGGAACATGGCATCACACACCTCACGCTATTTCTATTTTGTGGTCCTGGGAACGAAACACAGGTGCACTCTACTATGGGTCTTCTCATATCTTTCTCTGTTTGGTTTTTTGAGACAGTCCTGCTACGTATCCCAGGCTTGCCTTGAACTCACAGGAGTCCTTCTGGGAGTCTCAGTGACTCTCACCTCCTCCTGAGACAGGTCTCTACTTAAACTTGCCTTCCTCCTGCCTCAGCCTCCAGAGCAGCTAGGAACAGAGACCTGTGACTACCCACCTCTCCTTTATGTCACCTTGTGAGGGCTTTGTGACAAGCTACAGAAACGCCTATTCTATTTTCTTCTTCTTTTTTTCTTATCAGTACCAGGGATCGAACTCATGACCACCTGCTTGCAAGGCCAAGTGCTTTTGCCACTGAGCTAAATCCCCAGCCCCTTTTTTGTTTTTTTTTTGAGACAAGGTCTCACTGTGCAGTTCACCCTGGCCTTGAACTAGCTGTGTAGCCCAGGCTGGTCTCGAACTCAGCGATCCTCCTACCTCCACCTTCTGAGTGCTAGGATCACAGGTGTGCACCACCACACCCTGCACACTCTGTTTTAACTTTGTAAACACACCATGTTCACTGCTCCCTTACTCCCTGCCCTCCTCCACCTCCATTGAGCAGAGTCCCTTTCCTCATACCTAAGGAAAACACCTAAGGGCGCCTACATTTCTTTCCACGGGAGCACTCACATGGTCTTAAGGGCAATTTGGCATCTCTCAGAATTTACAGTGTATTTATCCTCTGGCACTAGTTCCATTTGAGGATTTATTTGCTGAGCAAAAACACACGTGTATCAAGGTCTGACAGACAGATGCACCCTGGGGCCTGGCTGTGGATGGCAATACAGTTAAACAAGGGGAAGAGTCAGGGACAGGGACTCAGTCCCATGCAGCCTCCGTGTGGGACACTCTGACACTCCACGGGGGCTCAGGGAGGGTGAGATGCTGTGGGATGGCGTGGAGCCATGTCCAAGCACAGCTCAGTCTGGAGCACATGCCCAGCACACAGCACGCCCTAGGGGCCACTTGGTACCACAGTACAGAGAGAAAATAGACGCTATGTTATTCTATTTTGTAACTTACTTTAAGCCTTCAGTGTAAGATGGCAAATTGAAGGCAAGCCACATCTCTCCCTTCCTCTGAGACTTCCTAAGTGGGAGCTGGCCGGTAAGAGATACAGCAGATAGAGCATGAAGCAGTAACCCAGGCAAGGCCTCCAGGAGCGTAGGGAAGACAGGAAGTGGGTAGAGGGGAGGCATGACAGAGCGAGCTGCACAACCCCAGAATGCAGACTCACGCATGCACGCATGTGTGCACGTAACTGCTATCCTGGGGGCGAGGGGATGAAGGGCCTGAGACTGGACATGCCAGGTCTGATGCAGAGAAGATGAGCTGAATTTGTGCCGATGAAGCCGCCATCTCAGGTCACCACCCCAGGGAACAGACCACTTGGCCAAGCCGAGGCATCTGTGCTATGGGAATTCTTGTCACTTACCCCTCCCCACTTCAAGCTGCCCAGCTGTCATCACCACTGCAGTGAACTGAATGTGGATGTGGTAAGCCGGCACAGGACCTCTGAGGGTAGGTTTGAAAGGGAAGCACAATTCTGCCCATTTCTCGTTGGGCGCCTGCATTTTCTTTTTGGAGACAGGGCCACATTCTGTTGTCTGCACCAGGCTGGAATTCCCTATGCAGCCAGGCTGGCCTTCGATCTTCCTGCTTCTTCCCTGAGTGCTGGGATTGACAGCCTGCATTGCCACACCTACAGTAGGATCCTTGATTTTGGAACTTAGCAATGCCAAGGAAGCCCAGGACACACAGACAGGACAGAGATCCCAGGGGACCACAAAGGCCAGATGAAGAAACCACTGTGATGACTCCAATCTCAGCTTCGACAACTCACAGTAACCCCACAGGAGCATCCTGGCTGAGGCAAGGCGCCCTGAGCAGGACAGTATGAGATGCCAGCTCTTTCAAGTCACAACGTTTGGGCAGTGGACGGGTGAAGCACACTCCTAGCCAAAAACAAATTCTAAAAACAGAGAAAGAAAAATGAGAGTTCTATAAAAGAAAGTATGGAAAGAAGAGGACAGGAGGTGGGGGAGAGGGCAGGGGCCACGTGTCCTCTAGTCTAGAAGCTGGTTGTCTGGAAAAGTATTCCGGAAAACGGGGTGCTAGGGAAGTCAAAGCATAACAACGCTATGACCATTATTGTTCTTGAACCCCTGGTCTGATCACTGATAAACAACCATCTTAATTTTGGTGGGCTTTTTTGGTGTGTTTTGACACATGGTCTTGCTGTGTAATTCAGGGTGGGCTTGAACTCACTATGCAGCCCAGACTGGCCTCAATTTGCAGCGATCCTCCTGCCTCAGCCTCCCAAGTGCTAGGATTATAGGTGTGCACCACCATGCCTGACAGTAATTTTTTTAATGATAATAATCATTTTTAGATATGTGTGGAATCTCTATTGTATCAGGAGATCAGGATGAACAAATGGAAAATGATGAACCTCAAGAAAAAAATATTTCCAAGAATACAAGTAAATCTAAAAACAGAACTCTAGTATGACATGAAATGTGAGCACAATGCTCTGAAAAACTGAGTAAGTAGATAATAAGAAAAAGCTCATAATAGGGAGGCTGAGGCAAGGAATCACTGAGCCCAGGCGTTTGAGGCCAGCCTGGGTAATACAGTGAGAGCCCACTTTGGAAAAAAAAGCCTACAGTCCCAGGACTTGGGAGGCTGAGGAAGGCAGACTGCTCTGAGCTTGTGGCAGCCACTCACTGTGTGGCCCAGGCTCACCTTAGACTCATGGTGATCCTCCTGCCTCAGCCCCCTAGGTGTTACGAGTATGGGCATGTGCTACACTCCTGACTAAAGTCTCATCTTTGGGCCAAGGATTTAGCTCAGTGGTGTAAGTGCCTGCCTGGCAAGTGACAGATCATGAATTCGATCCTCAGTATCAAAAAAACTAAAATAAAATAAAGTCTCGTCTTTATGCTATAACTTTGATAATCCTGGACCATCTTCAACATGTCTGAAGAAGTAAATGGAACTCAGGAAAGCCTAACCAATTTTCTCAAACTTTATGTAAAATATAAAAGCTAGTACGCAACACACAAGATTTGATGTCAGAATGCTCACTGTAGACCTCCACTTTATTTTTTCCTGGACTGGAAGCCAGAGCCTTGACACTGAGCTACACCCTCAGTCCATTTTTTTATTTTGAGACAAGCTCTAAGTCATTAGGGCCCAGGATTTTGCTCAGCGGGATAGTGCCTACTAGACGAGCGTGAAGTCCTGAGTCTGATAGCCGGTATCAAAAATAAAACTGTGTTTTACTAAGTCATTAAGCTGCCCAGGCTGGGTTCAAACTTGGAATCTTCCTGCCTCAGCTTCCCACAGTGTTGGGAGTACAGCAGTGGATTACCATAGATAGCCTGATCCCTATGTTATGCTACTGTCCTGAGGTGTCCCAGTGGGTGGAACACCATGATCAGCACAGCAGACATTTGGTTCCTCTGCCCTGGGGAGCTGCAGTAAAACGTGGCTCCCTCAGACCAGGCCTGCCACAAGTCATGGGTCACTTACTTTCCCCCGCATTCTGTGCACCAGTTCGTACATCCAGATGCAGCCTTCCACGCTGACCCCACGAGAGGACTGCCGTGCCTTGGAGTCTGCATGCCGGGACTCCTGCTTGCCCTTGAGACAGAGGTGGGAAAAGAATCAGGATGTTAACATGGTGAAGTCAGACAAAGATCAGATCCAACCTGTGAACACCACCAATATCCAACACAGCTTAGGTCAGGAGCAGTGGGCTTTCCACGACGTCAACTTGTTCAAGCTGATTTCCTTAATGAACTAAACTTTGTTGCTTTGGGTGACTTTCTGCTGTTTGTGATCTGGCCTGCTCACTTGATGTTTATTCTGCTGGACAAATGGTCCCTTCTTTTCTGGTGAGTATCCACTTGTCCCTGACCACAAACCTCCCTCCTGGCCCAAGAAGTAACACAAAGCAGCCTAATCTCTTTGGTACCCAGGGTCCACCTGACGCATAAGGCCCGTGCTCTAGCCAGGCCTGGCATTCTCTTTCGCAGGGGATGCCAACCTACGATGTGAGCCTGGGGCTCCCATGAGCCAATCTGCCACACAGCACCTGGCTGCAAGATCAAACCAAGAACAGTGTGGAAGAACAGAGAGATGGAAGGCAACACATCGTGTGTGGGTAACTGGACTGAGTCAAAATAAGGTCAAGAGGGCCAGGGATTTAGCTCAGCGGCACAAGTGCCTGCCTAGCATGTGCAAGGTTGTGAGTTCGATCCCTGTTACTCCCCCCCCCAATAAATAAATAAATAAATAAATCTAACTCTAAACAATTCCCACTTACTTCTGTTTAATTCCTAATGATAAAATAATGTAGTACACAAATTCATTCAAGAATTTATGTAAATTCCAAGAATTTTGGAACTTTATACCTAGAGGACCAGCAAGTTAGTCCAGTGCCAGATTTACAGATGTAGAAACTGAGGCCTCAAGAGGGGAAGCAGCAGGATCAGCATTACAACTGCTGGCTCTAAGAAGGTCATCATTTTGACTTTTTTTTTTTTTTTTTTTTTTTTTGGTCTTTTTTGTTTTATCGGTACCAGGGATCGAACTCACGACTGCCTGCTTACAAGGCAGGCACTTATGCCGCTGAGCTAAACCCCCAGCCCCTCATTTTGACTTTTTAAACATATTTTTAAATAATTATAAGTGACAAAAAATTGTAGAAATATGTACATGGGTCCTATGCATGTTCTTCCAGACTTCCCTAATTGTGCCATAGTTCATAAATATATGATACAATCAAAGCCAGGAAGAGCCAGGCACGGTGGAGCATGCCTATAATCCTAACACTTAGGAAGCTGAGGCAGAAGGATTGCTGTGAGTTTGGGGCCAGCCTGGCATACAAACTGAATTCAAGGCCAACCTGAACGAATAGCAAGACTCTGTCTCAAAAAAATAAAATGAAGGGGCTGGGGATTTAGCTCAGCGGCGTAAGTGCCTGCCTTGCAAGCAGACAGTCGTGAGTTTGATCCCTGGTACCGATAAAAAAGAAAAAAATAAAATAAAATAAAATAAAATGAAACAAGAATTTTAAAAATCAACAAGACAAAACATACCAGGAAGAAACTGGCACTGGTCCAATCCAGAGGCCTTTTTTTTTTTATCATCGGTACAGGGGATTGAATTCACGACCACTTGCTTGTAAGGCAGGTGCTTATACACTGAGCTAAATCCCCAGCCACAAATCCAGAGGCCTTATTCACACACATTTCAAAAGATTTTCTGTGCAGCCTTGAACAATTTTATCACATGTAGATGTGTGTAGACATGAGCATACTAAACACACGTAAGTCTTGTCATGTGATGGCACACATCTATAGTCCTAGCTACTTGAGAGCTGAGGCACCAATATCACCAGGCTGGAGACCAGCTGGGCAGCCATTAAGACCTTGCTTCCGTATGAAATTAGATGGGTTGTGGGGATTTAGCTCAGCAGCGTAAGTTTCTGCCTGGCAAGCACAAGGTCACGAGTTTGATCCCCAGTACCAAAAAAAAAAAAAAAAGAAAGAAAAGAAATCAAATGGGTTGAGGATGTAACTCAGTGACCAAGTGTCCCATGAAAGGCCCTGGATTCGATTCACACAACTGCAAAAAACAAAAAACAAAAACAAGCAAAAACCAGATGTGGTATAGGGGAGTCTGGTGGTGAGAAAAGGACTTTTATATCTTTCTTTTTCAGTCCTGGGGATTGCACTCAGGTTCCTGTGCATGTTAGGCAAGTGCTCTACCACCTAGCTGCATTTTCTGGTCTTCGTATTTATTTTAATTTGACACAGAGTCTCAGTAAGTGTTCATGCTGGCCTTGAACTTGCAACCCTCCTGCCTTGGCCTCACAAAGAGCTGGGATTTTACAATTCCAGCTGGGGCCACTTCCTCTCCAATCCGTAAACGTTCTACAATGCTGGTGGTTTAAGAATATTAAACAAAAGCCTTATACAGTACATCGACTTTTGAGATTAGCTTATTTTTCTTTTTTTCAGAACCAGGGATCAAACTCATGACCTCATCTTTGCCAAGCAGGCACTCATGCTGCTGAGCTAAACCCCTGGCCCTAGCTCATTTTTCTTGTTTTTTTTTTTGTCTTTTTTCCTTTTTATTGGTACCAGGGATCGAACTCACGACTGCCTGCTTGCAAGGCAGGCGCTTATGCCGCTTAGCTAAATCCCCAGCCCCCTAGCTCATTTTTCTTAAAACTCCACATAATCCCTTGTGCTGGGTGAGTTTAACTGTGTCAAACTGTCTGGCCTTGGAGCTGCTGGGGGGACTGGTATAGCACACTGCTTCCCAAGCCCAATGAACTAAGCAGCTTTGCTCTGTGATGCTCCTGCCCAGTCAGCTGACCATGGACTGAATCCCCCAAAGCCAAGAGCAATATTAACCCCCCTCTTCGAAATTATGCGTGTCAGGTCCTGGGTCTTGGTGATGAGAAAGCTGATGCAGCCCTTGAAATCCATCCAGCTGCTGCACATACTGACGATTTATCCTTTTTATTGCTGGTAATAATTTCATGACACAGCTAATCCAAACAGCGTGTTTACCTTACAGTTTTTGGATATTACAACTAACGCTGCTATGAACACTGGTTTACAACTTGCTACTAGAATGGAAGTTTTGAGTTCTCTGATGTAAATAACCAGGAACGCAATTGCAAGATAATACAGTTAGAAGCATGTTCATAAAAAAATTGCCAAATTATTTTTTAGTTGGGGGGAGAGGTTGAGGCACGGTCTCAACATATATTTCATATTGGCCAAGAGCTCAACATGTAGACCATGTTGGCAGTGATCCTCCTGCCTCAGCCTCCCTGGTCCTGAGATTACAGGTATACACCACCATGTCTAGCCTGCCACATGGTTTTTTGGTGTGGAACCATTCTGTATTCAACCCCAAAATGCATGAACGACCCAGCTTCTCCGCATCTTCACCAGCATTTGATGGCAGCACTCTTTCTCATTTCAACTCTTCTTACAGATGTGCCATGCCTTACTGGACTTCTAATTCTTGTTTTCCATTGGCTAACGTTGGGATCGAACTCACGACTGCCTGCTTGCAAGTAGGTGCTTATGCCGCTGAGCTAAATCCCCAGCCCCTATGTTGGACACCCTTACCTATCATCTCATACTGTCTTAGATGAAACGTGTGGTCACATCATTTGCTTTGTTTTTAAAAAATTATGAGAACTTGTTATATGATACATTCTAGGTGTAGATATAGAATTTCCAACTGCTTTCTTCCAATTTGTGCTTGTTTATAGCCTCTTCAAAGGGCCTTTTACAAGGGCTGGGGATTTAGCTCAGTGGAAGAAGCACCTACCTTGCAAGTGTGTGGTCGTGAGTTTGATCCCTGGTACCAACAGAAAAAAAAAGGGGGTCTTTTACAGAACAAAATTGTCATTTTAATGAGGTCTGATTTATCAATTTTTCCTTTTACAAGTCATGCTTTATATTTTATTTCTAGTAGCCTTACAGTTTTACGTTTAAGCCACTGATCATTTTATAATTTTTATATAATATATGATGTTTAGGCTGGGCATGACAGGGCACAGCTGTAATTCCAGCACTTGGGAGGCTGAGGCAGGAAGATAGCTACAAGTCCGAGACCGGCCTGGGCTACATAGTGAGTTCAAGACCAGCCTGAACTATAGACCAAGACCCTATCTCAAGTGAGGTAAATTTTTTTTTTCCTTTTGTTTGGTATATCAGGGACTAAACTCAAACTTGTGCTTGCCAGGCAAGTGTTTTTGCTGCTGAGCTGTATCCCCAGCCCCTAAGATGTAATTTTAAGCTCACAGTCGTGAGTTTGATCCCCGGTTTAAGCTTGGCAAAACTGATGCCATCTTGAGCCCTACATTTAACTAGTACCCTGTATTTGACCCAGGAAAATGGAAAATTACTCAGGGAAAAGCAGAATGAGCTGTACCCACAAGAGAAAAATTAACCTGTTCAATAAAAAAAGCAGGATACTGGTGTCAACCAAAAATTAATGTAAGATTAAAGTTAAATTGCTTCCAACAAGATGTCTTTCGTGATTCTCTCTTTTAAAAACTCTGTAACTTTCCAGTTCGGGGCCACTTATTTGAACTGTGAAACGGGTTAGGAGTTATGTCTGTATATGATTGGTCCTGAGCTCAGCTAATTAAACTCCAAATTTATCAATTTGGCTAATTGGATTCCTATATTGTTATTCATGAACCCACCTCAAAGAGCAAATATAAATTTTACTCTAAGCCTTTCAGCAGCCACCAGTTGAACAGATGTGATATTCCTGAGAAAGAACAATCCAGCTCAGGAAACTGTTACCTGTTGTTGGGACCAGTAAAGGGGGATTTCTCTGCATCTTCCTGAGAGAACACTGACTGAAGTATGAAACACTCCCCCTACACATGATGGTAACATGAAACAATCATTACTTCCCAGACAAGGTCACTGTCATACTTCCACCCTGCAGCCACCACGTTTCGTCCTAAGCTAATTCAGTTTTACCTTGGCTCCATCTGGGACTGTAGGGGAGGCTGGAGAGAAGGCAGGGCTTTGGACAGGAGATCTAGGAACAAGCGAGGACTGGTCTAAGGCAGAAGTTGGTACCGAGGATGAAGATGTCTCAGAGAGAGCAACAGACTCCTGCGTGTAGGGTAGGACATGATCCACTACCCAACCAGAGTAGGAAGACAGCCTGGGCGGAGACAGGTCTTCGAGCACATCCTAGGGAGAAGAAAGCTGAGTCCAACATGCATGCCCCCCAGTCCAACCATAAACCACCACATGCCTCACTGAACACCTCTGAAGGTAATAAACTCGTTCCAAAGGCCCGAAGGAGCTACACTGACAGAGATGGACAGGAAGCACAGTGGTTCCATGCTAACAACATTGGCCATGATCCTAAAGAAAATCCAAATGGCTGGATGTGGGGGACATGCCTGTAATCCCAGCACTCCTAAGGGTGAGGCAGGAGGACTGCTGTGAGTTTAAGGTCATCTGGGGCTACACAAGTGAATTTAAGGCCAGTGATCACTACATAGTGAGACCCTGTCTCAAAAACAAAACAAGCGGGGCTGGGGATTTAGCTCAACGGCATCAGCGCCTGCCTTGCAAGCAGGCAGTCGTGAGTTTGATCCCTGGTACCGATAAAAAAATGAAAAAGACAAAAAAAAAAAAAAAATCAACAAGCCGGGTGTGGTGCCACACTCCTGTAATTCCAGCACCCGGGAGGCTGAGGCAAGAGAACAGTTTGCAAGTTCGACACGAGCGTGGGTCACAAAGTGAGCCCAAGGCCAGCAGCATAGTGAGACCCTGTTTCAAAAAAAAAAAAAAAAAAAAAGATATTTGTGTAATCTATAGAAAACTCCATAAAATACCATTCAATTACAAGGGGAAATGAATTAAATGGAGAACTGGCAAAAGCAGGTTATCAAGATTAGTATGTCTCTGTCTCTCTGTCTCTCTCTCTCTTTCTCTCTCTCTCTCTCTCTCTCTCTCTCACACACACACACACACACACACACACACAACTAGCATCACCAGTGTTGGGACAGGGTGTCTGCGTGCCCCCAGTGTGACAGCCGAACACAGTACACAGCACCATTTCTGCTGTGTTCCTTGTTGCTTTTCCCCCCAATCCTTACCTTGCTTTGTTTTTCTTTATTTTTTTAGAAATTTATTTAGGGTCTTGCTATATAGTTCATGCTGGTCTTGGACTTGAAGTGACCCTTTGGTCTCAGCCTCCCAGTGCTGAGATTAAAGGCATGTACCACCATGCCCGACTCTGTGGTATTACTGTCAAAAACGCACAATCTGGGGCTGGGGATTTAGCTCAGCGGCATAAGCACCTGCCTTGCAAGCAGGCGGTCGTGAGTTCGATCCCCGGTACTGATAAAAATGAAAAAGACAAAAAAAAAAAAAAAAAAAACGCACAACCTGATATCAGGGATCTAGATCAGCGGCATAGTGCCTAAGCGACAAGTGTGAGGTCATGAGTTCAATCTCCAGTACAAAAAATAAAATAAAATACATGCTTAAATCAGGTGGGGTGGCACACTCCTGTAATCCCAGCACTTGGGAGGCTGAGGCAGGTGGATTGTTGCAAGTTTGAGACCAGCCTGGGTTACATAGTGAGCTCAAGGCCACCGTGAACTGCATAACGAGACTCCATGTCAAAAAGACAAAAAAATAAATAAATTTAAAAATTAAAAAAAATACATGTTTAGCCAGGCGTGGTGGCTCATCCCTGTAATCCCAGCAGCCGGGAGGCTGAGGCAGGAGGATTGTTGAGTTTGAGACCAGCCTGGGCTACAAAGTGAGCTCATCAAGGCCTGCTGGAACTGCATGGAGACCCTGTCTCAAAAAGAAAAAAAAAAAAGCTCAAAATAATAAATCAAATGATCTGAAAACCACAATGGGGAGTCAAGCTGTAAAACGTAAATCTTTATTCTAAAACACACACATACACAAACAAAAAATGGGGAAGGGTTATCTATTTATCTATTTATTTAGGTACCGGGAATCAAACTCATGACCTTGGGGCTGGGGATTTAGCTCAGCGGCATAAGCGCCTGCCTTGCCAGCATCCTGAGTTCAATCCCTGGTACCGATAAAAACGAAAAAGACCAAAAAAAAAAAAAAAAAAAAAATCAAACTCATGACCTTATGCTTGCCACGCAGGCACTGCTAAACCATATTCCCGGGCCCCCAGGGTTGTTGCTTTTGAGAAAAAATATTACTGCTTAGCACAGATCGGTCTTGAATTTTAGTTGATACTCTTTGCCTCAGCCTTTTAAGTGCTGAGATTACAGCAATTCACCACCGTGCCCGGCTAAAACTTTCAAAGTCATCAAAGCCAGGGCAATAGTTTTAGAGCTGTTTTCCATAGAAGTCTGAAGAGACAGGACAACATATGCATATCCGTAGCTAGATTACCAGCAATTTGGTAACAGCGTCTCTACCTTAACTGTCTCCACTCCACACCTTTCACCTTTAGTACACAACTTTCAAAACAGACGCAGTCACCATTCCCCAAATTCAACAGCCTCTCCCAGTGCCATCTAAACACTTGGATCATTTCTTGAGCGGGCGGTAATCGCTCTCCTAAATCCGGAGCTCGCAGCACAGGAGATACACAGTTAATTAACCTACCCTGGCCTGGCATGGTGGAGTACGCCTGTGATTCTAGCATTCAGCAGGCTGAGACAGGAGGATCACCAGTTCGAGCCCAGCCTAGGCTACATATTAACCTTACTACAGTACACAGTGAAACCTGGCCTCAAAAAACCAAAACACAAAACGGACACCCAAAAAAACACCTGAAAGCCCAGGGCTGCCCTGCCAACGGAAAGAGGGGCACCTAACTCCAGGGGATGGTAACGAAGTCCCTCGAACTGAGAAGCGCAAGGACATATACATACACACACTCATGCACAAGTCAAGAAACAGACGGGTCCCCGGCGCAGACGAGCGCGGGTGGGGGAAGCGCAAGTGCCCACGCCCGGGGCCGGAAGGGCCCGACCTCCACCCGGGCCACCACTCACCTCGCCCCGCTGCAACCAGTCCCGGTAGTAGCAGAGCTGACCCTTGCTGGAATTGCGAAGCGCCTGCAGGGTCTCCCAGCAGCGACCCTCGGACGGCATGGCCAGTCCGGCTGCACCTCCTTAAAGGTGCTGTAAATTACAAAGCAATCCCTCAAATCCACCGCCCGAAAAGGACAAACGCTTCCGTTTCCGGGGCGCGTGCGCATCGTAGCTCCGCCCCGACGGCGGCCAGCTCCGACCCTGAAGACACGCCTATCCTCCGATGCGCAGGGGCGAAGTGGGGCTGCAGGGGCTACTTTCTCGGGCAACGTGGTAACTCGAGAGCCTGCAAACTAGGATGGGGATAAACTGGGACGCACGCTGGCAGCCTGCTGGGGGAAGGTGAGCTGAAGCAGATGCTGTGGAAGACGGTCTGGCAGCTCCTCAAAAGGCTAAAGATAGTTACCATCTTCCTGAGATATACCAGAGAAATGATACCTGCGCATAGCCTTAGTTATAACGTGCAAGTACTTGTACATAATGCTGCAACATAGTGTTTTACTAAGTGAAAAAAGCCAGTCACCAGAGATGACATGGTGTATGAATCCATTCGTGTGAAACGTCCTTGACAGAGAAACGCACCGACAAAAAAAAAAAACCAGGTGTGTTGGCATAGGTCTGTCATCCCAGTACTAGGGAAACTGAGGCGGGAGGGTTTTCTTAGCCTGGGCTACATAGTAAGTTTAAGGCCAGCCTAGAGACCCCTTCTCAAATAGAAAAAAAACATAGGACAGGGTTGGGGAAACAATAGGGAACAGACTTTTCATATATGGGTTAGGGCATAAAAATGGTCTTAAATTATCTAAATTAGTAGTATTTCACACCTTGGTGAAAATACTAAAAAAAGAGGATTATGTACCTTAAATTAATTTTAAAGTATGTGGATTTTCTCAATAAATAAATAGAACATGAGGCCCAATTGCTCTGAGCTAGCTTTACCCGGGCCGGTTCTTTTGACCTTTCTACTGCCCAGCATTTATTTTTGGCATCGGTTTGAGGCAGGAAGGGTTGTCTCTGAAACATGGACCATGTAGATATTTTTAATTTCTTGATTTTTCTTTTATACAAATTCCCTGGACATTTTTTTTTTTTTTTTTTTTTTTTTTTTTTTGAGGCAGGTCTCACTGTGTAGCCCAGCCTGGCCTCAAACTTATGGTGGTCCTTCTGCCTTAGTCTCCCAAATGCTGGAATTAAAGTTGTGTACCACCACACTAGGCTTGAATTTTTTTTTTTTTTTTTTGGTACTAGAGATTGAGCTCATGATCTTGCACTTGCCAAGCAGGCACTTGTGCCGCTGAGCTAAACCCTTGGCCCCAGGCTTGGATTTTTTCTAATAAAACATTTTACAAAAAAAAATAGAAGGCTGTAAAGCTGGGTGTGGTGGTGCACACCTGTAGTCCCAGCATTTCAGAGGCTGAGGCAGGAGGATCATTATGAGTTTAAGACCAGCCTGGGCTACAAAGCGAGTTCAAGTCCAGCTCTGTCTCAAAAACAAAACAAAAGGCTGGTGGCAGCGCCCCAGGAATGGGCTCCCTGCAGCAGTGTTGGGACAGCTTAGGCCTGCACTGCTTTCACAAGTTTGGTGATGAGTTATATAAATCCATAGGACTATACTGGTGTAAGTTTGCTGCCTATTCTTTCCTTTTCTTTTTTTTTTTTTTTTTTTGTCTTTTTCATTTTTATCGGTACCAGGGATCGAACTCACGACCGCCTGCTTGCAAGGCAGGTGCTTATGCCACTGAGCTAAATCCCCAGCCCCACCTATTCTTTCTTGAGGTCTTATAAAATCAAATGCATTGGGGCTGGAGATTTAGCTCAGTGGCATAAGCACCTGCCGTCCAAGCAAGTAGTCCTGAGTTCCATTCCCTGGTACAAAAAAAAAAAAAAATCAAATGCATTTACAAAGAGAAAATGGATTCAGTTCTGTAATGGCAATGGTGGCTGGTAACTTTATAATTACTTTCCTTGGAGCAGAGTGTGGTGGCATACATGTATAATCCCAACATTCAGGAGGCTGAGGCAGGAGGATCACAAATTCAATGTGAGATAGATCTAAAAAAAAAAAATCACTTGCATTGGAAATATTGAAAACTGGAAATGACAGATTTCCTCAAAATTTGGGAGGGAGGGGTTTCCCACTGACCCTTGAAATCAGATAACCTGGGGTAGAAATAACCTCGAAGGACAGTGTTTTGGACTTGGGCTATAGGTGACCAAGAGAAGAGGTGATCAGAGATAGAAGGCTGATCCCAGCTAGAATGAAAATGTTGCAAGGGTTCCCCCACACTGCCAATTTGTTCCTGTCCCTTTACTAAATGTGGTTGTTCCTTTTAATTTTTTGGTAGCAGTGCTGGGAATAGAACCCAAGGCCTCGTGCACATTAGGCAAGTGATTTTACCAATAAGCCGTGTACCTGGGTAGGTTGTTTTTTTTTTTTTTTGTCTTTTTCATTTTTATCGGTACCAGGGATCGAACTCACGACCTCCTGCTTGCAAGGCAGGTGCTTATGCCGCTGAGCTAAATCCCCAGCCCCGGTTATTTTTTTGGTACTGAGGATCAAACTTACAACCTCGAGCTTGCCAGGTAGGTGCTTGTGCCGCCGAGCTGAACCCGAATGTATGTCTTTGTGGTCCTAGAGATGGAACCTAGGCCCTTGCATATATTAGGCAAGTGTTTTACCACTGAGCTACACCCACCCATCTTTTTTTTTTTTTTCCTCCCAGTACCGAGGATCAAACCCAGGAGCATTCTATTACCAGGTTACATTTCCAGCTCTTTTTAGTTTTTGAGACAGGGCCCACCTAAATTGCCCAGGCTGCCCTCAAATTTGTGACCCTCCTGCCTGTTTCCCAGGTGACTGGCATTACAAGTATGTGTCACCCTGCTTGGCCTATTTTTTCTTATAAGTACAGAAAAGTGGCCCATAATCTTAACATTCAGCAATTAACATTTTAAAAATTACAGAGGATTTAGCTCAGCAGCATAAGTGCCTGCCTGTCAAGTGTAAGGTCCTGAGTTTGATTCCCAGTACCAAAAAAAAAATAACATAAAGTCAGGTATGGTGGTACATGCTTGTAATCCCAAGCACTTGAGAGGCTGAGGCAGGAGGATAGCAGTGAGTTTGAGGCCACCCTGAGGTACACTGTGAGATCCTGTCACAGTGGCCTGCCCAAAGCGTGAGCAATACCTCACACCAAGTGTGTCTCCTCCAGATATCTAAGCATTATGATGTGAAAGTGCAAAAAGGAGAAACAATAGCTGGGTGCTCACCTGTAATCCCCAGCTTGGTAGGCTGAGACAGGGAATGCCCATGAATTGAAGTCTAGCCTGGTCTACATGGGGAGTTCACAACCAGCCCAAATGATACAATGAGACCTTGTCTCAAAAATTAAATAAATATAGAGAAGGAAATGACTTGGGCTAAAATAGAGAGCCTGATGTTTCATGCAGTAATACTTTCAAAACATTTTCTCTCGTAGCATTTTATTTTAATCATTTTTTAAAAGAGGAATGGGGTTCTGGAAAAGGAAATCATCCCAAGAAGCCTTAAATAACTGATTAGAAATCTTTTTGTAAAACTGTACAAATATTTCAAGAATAAATTCATTCTAGAGATACAAAGGGAAACCAAAATGAATGAGCTCAGGATTACACTTATAAAGTAGGGAGGCCACCTGAGCCCCAAGGTATTTGCGAAGTGCTGGGGAGCACATGGCCTCAAGGAAATGGGTGTGAGAGGTGTCAAGGGCTCCCCCAACCTTAAAGGAACACTGCTCCATCCCATACCCTTGAAATCAAAGCAGGAAAGCTGCTCGCAGCCCCGCAGGGCTTCTGCTGGTTCAGATCAGAGAAAACCCAAGAGGGATTCCTAAAAGAGGAGGCTGGTGGGTACTGGAGGGAAAAGTCCAGCCCGAATTCTCTTGGGACAGTCTTGGCATCTGTCACGGGCAGCTGGAATCTGCTCCCTGATGGAGTAGTAAATGTAAGGCCTGTCAAGGTCAGTAAAAAAATTCCATCAGGTGGCGACATCAGGAGGAGGCAGTCAAGCGCCCCCTGCTCCCTGGCCCGCTGTGTGAGGGACGATCTGGGGTCACAGCTGAGGACAAGCCCAGATGCTTCCTCACGGGGACAGCAGAACCACTGGCTTCTGGCTATGGCTTGGCAACTCCTTCCTTCCTAACATCCTCTGCACTGGGCAGCACTCCAGTCCTGGAAGGCAACCTCAGGCAGGGGGTGATCGGGAGCGGATTGGGGAGCTGGTCAGGAAGGAGGTATAGGGACTGTCTCCAAACACGTTGGCATAGGAGGACTTGAGGAACTGGACGTAGTTCTGCATGCTGCGGTTGGTGCTCTCCGACTGCTCCAGGCGGTCCTTCAGGTCCTGCAGGCGGCTCTGGTAGCGGCGGTCCGCCTAGGAGAGAGGCACGGGGTGTACAGGGGACAGCTGAATGGGACATGCAGGGTGATGGGCTGGGCTCGGGAGGTGCACAGGCAGTGAAGGCTAATGGGATAGAGCCTGTTAGGCTGTCTTTTTAAAGGACAAGGTCTCTATGCCAGATGTAGTGATGGAGACCTGTAATCCCAGCCCTCAGCAGGCTGAGGCAGAAGGAGCGACTTGAGTTCAAGGCAAGCCTTGGTAAATTCAAGGCCAACCTGAATGATACAGTGAGACCCAATGTCAAAAATTAAAAAAAAAAAAAAAAAAAAAGAACAGGAAGAAGAGACAAGGTCTATGTCCAGGTCCCTAACTGGCTTTTAACAGCTAGAGTCAAAGTTGGGCACGGTAGTGCACACATGTAATCTCAGCACTTGAGAGGCTGAGGCAAGAGGATCGTTGTGAGTTCGAGACCAGGCTGGGCTACGAAGTGAGCTCAAGGCCACTGTGAATTACACATCAAGACCCTGTCTCAAAAAGACAAAACAAAACAAACAAAAAAAAAAACCACCTAGAGGCAAGCAATCCTCCTGCCTCAGCATTCTGAATAGCTGGAAGGGTATGCCACCACACTAGGCTTGGTATGAGATTTCTTTTAAAAACTATTCCAAACCTAAATTATCATGGTAATTGGATGACTCTGCCAGTACACTAAAACACTAATGAATTGTACAACTGGGTGTGGGGCCGGATTTGGATACAGTCTCACTATGTAGCCTA